ACCGTCTGCGGCCACAAGGCCACGGGACTTTCTCATCTGGCCACAGCAGAGAGCACCCGCCACGCCCCAGATCTGAGCATCTGCGACTCTCTCTCCGGGTCCTTCTTCGGGCTCCGGCAGCATTTTCCTGACGCTTGTTTCTCACTTAGCCTGAAGCCACGCTCTGCTGAGATTAAATGCGCGTCACCTCGACACCTCGGCTTTCTCTGTCTCCCACGCTGGAAATTAAGCCCCAGGGGCTGTGTCTGTCTTGCTCGCCGATGTATGATCTTCACCTAGAACAGGACTGGGTCCCCTCAGAGTCGGGGCTGCATCACACTTGCTGAATGAACGCTTGCGTCCACAAATAGATTATGCTTCTAAGCAACTTTCTAGTATTTGAAATTCTGTTGTTAGAGAGCATGGCTTTGACTTAAGGCAAATAGGGGGCTGGTCCTCTGCTGAAAGGCAGAGATGCCAGGGTCTGTGGGCGGTGTGGACAAAGCCTCCTGCTCACACCTAATTTAAACAATACCAGCAGGTTAGTCCTTCACACATTAGTATAAACAAGATTTCTATCCTGGTCATGAAAGATAATTTCAAGGAGAGGAAAGGTGGGCAGAATCAGAGCACAGGGTATCTGAGCAGTGCAGGGAGAGCAGTCACTGCCAGGGAAGAAGTGGACAAAAGGGAGCTATGGGCACTGATGACAAACCGTCTCCACTTCTGCATTCCCCCGGGAGCTGGCCCAGTTTAGAACTTTCCAAACCTTTCGCTGCTTGGTTATTGGGTCACAAAAGTGGGAACCATAGGCACTGTTGATTTGCTCCCAGACCACCTCCCCTCCATGCTATAAAGAGGATTCTCCCAAAGTGTCCAGAACACCAGATGCTAAGGTTCGGCAGGCGTACAGGGGAAAAGATTCCAGGGAAAAACGCCTGGTTAAAATAAAACCACACCAGTTTCTTTATTTCCCATTAGAGGCTGTAACAGGTGACGTGAGCGTGTTAACCTCCAGGAGGAGGCCGCAGAGGGTGGAACCCCCGCCTCCTTCTACGGAAACCTCCCCCTTCCTTTCTGCAGGACACACAACATCAACATCCGGAGAAACCAATATTCCCAGGAACACGAGGAATCACCCACTCTGAGGTCTGGACCAGGTGGAAGCTCCTTGTCACTCCAAAGGGGTGCTCCACTCTGGGTGGGGGCATCATTGGGCACAGGGAGACCTCCGTATGCTGGCCATGGGTGACAGTTTCAGTCATTTCTGTAAGGTGCTGCGGGCCCAGCGATACACAGCAGACAAAGAAGAGCACACCTTGCTAAACCCACCTCCGCCCCCAGCGCCTGCGGTCCGTCCGCAGGGACGAAGAACGGGGAGAGGAAAGGGAGAGTCAGGAAGAAGGGAGAGGGAGGAAGGGAGGGTGGCGGGGAAGAGGCCGGGTGGGGTGGGCCCGTCCTGCGCCCCCCTCCTCCTCCCCCTCGCTTGGCCGCCTGTCCCTCCTGAAGCCCCCCGCAGTCAGGCTGCTGAGGGACCAGCGCTGGGAGGCACGGCGTGCCGGGCTGTCTCCTGCCACCTCGCGGCTGTGCTGTCATTGCATGGGCAGCCGCTCCTTTCATCCACATATTTCCAGACAGATGTGCAGCCAGACCCCCCGTCCCCTGGAAGGGAGCCTGGCACATTGCGAAGCTGTGTTCCTGTTCAAGGTCACGCGGCTGGCTCTCCCTGCTCTAAGCACGCACGGGAGGAGGGGGCAGCGGGCAGCAGCAGATGGGCAGCAAAGTCACGTCCTCAGGTGCCAGGCGAGGACCCCCGTGGTCTCTGACCGTGGGCACGGAGCTCCCGTGAAGCTGTGACACTGGTGTGCGAGCAAAGCATTGCAGAGAAAGGGAAAGCCGCGGACACGCCCCCGGGCCTCACTTGCCCTCGGCCCCTCGAAGCCGCTCTCCCGGCCCTGCTCTCCCTCCCTCCACTGGAGGGCAGAGCTCCTCGAGGCCACAGCCGCCACCGTGTGACGCAAGGGAAGTGGGGACTCGGCAGCCCTGCTCGGCTGCAGCTCGGCAAGAGTAAGAGCTGTGCAGTGTGTGCGCAGCATGTGTACATAGATATTTTTCTGTATGTGACGATGTTTGATGTCTTTCAAACCCTTCTGGCTGGGGAGAGCCTGGCTGGCATTTCTGAGACACAGCAAAGGGCCTGCGGGTGCAGCCAGCCCAGGGCCACCTCCTCCACCAGGCAAGCCCCCGGGAAGGTGTGAGCTGGCCAGGCCTGAGCTGTGCTCCCCGCCCTGCCTGTCCGCCAGAAACCCCAATGGGCCTGTGGCCGTGGCTGTCCCCTCACGCCTACCCTCTGCCTCCTGACCATGCTGGGGCTTCCCCGGGGCCCCACAGGGCACATGGTGACCCTCTCCAGGCCAGGAGTGGGAAGGCAGAGGGAGCTCCAGCATCCTCATGTCCCACCCTCACCCTCGGGCCTGCATCCACCCTTCATCCGGCAGCTGAGGACGCACCGGGGGTCACAGAGACCACAGTGCCTCCTGGCCGGCTGGGAGGGGGACCCTGGAGCCGTGCCTCGCTGCCCCTTCGTCCCATGCACTTCACCAGCCCCTGCCACGCCCCTCAGCATCGTGGGAGGTTCCTGAGGCTGCTGGAGCAAAGTCCCACAGGCTGGGCAGCCCAGGCGGCAGAAACACGTTCTCTCACGCTCTGGAGGCTGGAGTCGGAGATGGAGGTGCGGGCAGGGCCACGCTCCCGCCCAACCCTGTGGAGAGGATCCTTCCGCTGGTAGCTGGCCATCCTCGATGGTAGACGTGTCACCCCCATCCCTGCCTCTGCCGTCACATGGCCTCATTCTCTGGGTGTCTCTCTGTGTCCTCTTCTTATAAAGACACCAGTCGGTGTATGTAGGGCCCCTACTCCTCCATGACCTCATCTCACTCTAATGAATGACACCTGCAAAGACACTATTCCAAATGAGGTCACATTCTGAGGTTCTGGGAAGGCTAGGATTTTAGGCGACACCATTCGCCCCAGTACAAGCATGCTCTGCTCAAGACCCACCCCCGCCCCCCACCCCGCCACCAGACCTCTCTGCCTCATCTATGGGAGGGGCAAGCTGGAAACCCCAAAGTGGGATGCAGTGCTGAGCTGCGTCCTCTGGAACCAGAGCCAGCCGGGGGCAAAAATGCAGGCCCCTGGGACTCGCACGCAGCCACTCCCCAGGGGAACGCCACCTCTCTTGGTCTTGTCTGGAAAATGGAAAGCTAGAGCAAGCGATCACCTCTCTGTTGCCCTCCAGACCCAAAGCTCTCGCTGCATCTTCCAAGGGAGACAAGAGGCCACCCGGTTCGCCCCGTCAGGGTTATGGAGGACGTTACTGTCTTGCCCGGGGTCACACAGGGCAGGGCCCACACCGACCCCTCGGGTTCCTGGACTGGTGCTGGCTCATGGTGCCGGGACCACCCCCCAACCTATTACAGACCCTTTTCCCCTCCCGGGCACGCCCAGCGTGCCTGGCTCTTAGCTCCATCAGCACTCGTGTCTCCCTCTATGATTGTCACCTCGGATGGACGTCTAGTGTCCGGACAGTGCAGCACTCAGTCCACACAAAGTGCGTGTTTGCAGGAGAAGCCGTGATCAGGTAATGGGTGACTGAGAACTGAAGGAGAGGCCGCGGGTCATCCTTCCCGGCACCCTCCTGAGCACCAGGAGTTTGGGGCCCCACTGAGTTAGAAGTATCCAGGGTGCCTGGCACCCACCATACAGCAGAATCATCCAGAGCTGCCTGCCATCCACCCCATGCCCACAGAGCCCCATCCGAAGGGGGAAAGAGCCCCAGGCTGCAGGAAAGAGGCAAGCCCCATTTCTACCCCACCCTCCCCTCTTCCTTAGCCCTTGCTTTCTGTCTTCTCCCAGCGCCTCTGGGTGAATTCATGACTTAACTCGACCAGAGCTGGGTTACTGTTGACTGTTAAAGCATGTCCAGCACGCCGGGTAAACCAGACATGCGACGAGTCCAGCAGAGCACGGTCTTCTTCCAGACCTTCCGACAGCTCCAGAAGCCGAAGTGAGCAAGGCCAGGCTGCCGGTCTCCAGGAAAGACCACGGACCCCGTCCAGGAAGGAGCAGAGACACCAGACATCCTGAGTCCATCTAAGATGGCACAGGCGATCACAAAAACCAGAAGCGCTTCCAAAATCGGATGCTTCTCCAATTCAGGCCTCATTTGGTCACATATCAGACGGGACTGAGAGGTGGCTCTGCCCTCGGGAAGCACACGCTCCAGGAGAACCATCAGGAGTGGACCGGCTGTGAGCAGGAGGCCTGCTGGGCACACAGCCCCTCAGGTGCCACGAGGGGCACCTCCAGGGACCTCAAGAAGCACTCTGCATTGATAGACTATGTTTCTATTCAAACGCCCCCGGGGGACATTGAACGGAGGGTGGAGTTAGCGTGTTCCTGAAGCAGAGCTGTCCCCAGGCCTTCTGTTGCAGGGCGCTCCCTGGAGGGGAGGGGCGCCCCGGCATCTGACCAGCACTGCTCTCATCTGCCCATGCCTCCGCCCAACGTCCCTAACTGGGAAGCTGCCTCTCCTGTCGCACACAGACCAGACTTCAGCACTCTGCCCCAACCTTCTTCTCACAGTAGGCACCCTCTCAAGGGATTGGATTTTCTCTGAATGAAAATCCATTTGTCACCTGCAAGGTGAGAAGGTGCTTGGCTCCCACGCTTCAAAGGCTCCTCGCCTCCCCAGACCCCAGCCCTGCAGGTGCTTCCCCTTCACAGCGAGAGCTTGGCCCCTTTTAATTTAGGCTTTAATTTTGCAACTCTAGATGGAGTTGATGTCAAGAGGGTCTTCTCCCAGGAAAAGTCATTGGAGGCTTGGTGAATATGACCCCAGAAGTGGGAGGGCCAGGAGACACGCCCACGGGTTTTCATTTCTTGTAGACGAGAGTGAGATTACACAGGGTCCAAAGGCAGGAAGCAGGGGATCAGAGCTGATACTGGGGGGGGGGGGGGAGGGAGGAGGCATATGACCCCAGGAAGTAGAGTCCCCCTCTCACTCACAGAGATGCTGTCCCGTTCACCAGCGCCACCTCGAGGGTCCACTAAGGAGGTGCAGGAACGGGCCCGTTTCTCTGTGGGCCAGTTCAGAAACCGCTGCTTCCGTCTATTGGATAAAAGAGAATTCACCCCTTTACTTGGGCTTTGGATAACGAAGAACTCATTTGAAGCAGGTAATTTCCCCGAACTGCATCACGGTTTCTCCATCCCCGGCAGCTCTGAAGCTTTGGCACCTGGACCCTGAGTGAAATGCGGTTTTGCCATCTAGGCAGCTGGGGTGCCGTTTCCAAGCCGGGCGGGTGAGGGGTGCCCTCGGGGCTTGTCCTGGGGAGGGTGCGGAAGCTCTGCCCAACACAGGCAATAAGGACAGGGAGGAGCGGGCACTGAGCCCCGGGGCTCGCGGGGGAGCACAGACCCACAGGGAGTGAAGCCAGCCATGCGGGAGGGGGACAGGAGTGGACTGGGTGGCCACGGGTGCACCTGAGAGAAAGTGCCGGGAAGGCCGAGGCCCAGCACCTCTCCTCGCCCGTGCTGCCTCTCCACCTGCTGCCCTCTGCCTGCTTCCTCTCCTCCCCTCCTCCAGCCAGGCCTGATGCCCCCGTCAGGTCCATGCGTCAGTATGGGCTTCCCTGAGCCCTCAAGAGCAGCCAGAAGGAAGCGGCAGTGACGCGGATCATATCCTCAGCGTTTTATTTACGTTCTCTCATGTTTCGTCACAGCAACTCTCTGGTGACTACCAATGCCCCAACTTGAAGGTGGGAGAACAAGGCTCAGAGAGACTAGGAGACTTACCCAAGGCCACACAGCTGGTGAGCAGGAGGGCTGGGCTCCAGACCAGATCTGCTGGGCACCAAAGCCACGCTCCAGGCCACAGCCGGGCAGGTTCCTGAGCCTCCACTGGTCGGCATTTGGGTCGCAATGTCATGGAATGAACTACAGCAAAACCTTTTGTTTTCCTAGGGAGATAAGAAAGCATCTCAACTTTTCAGGTTATTGTACCCGCTTTGGAGGAATCATCCAATCGCTTATTAAACACGCCTCCTGGCTTCTCACTGCAGGGTATAAATGTACTTTTTCTTGATGGTTTGGGGACACTTACTCGGGGGGTGGTGACAGCCTCGTTCCAGCTGTGTCTGTGACACCCTGCAGGAAGGCGGAAGGTTTCGGGAACAAGAGTTGCTGGTGGGAACAGGTGTTTAGGCCAAAGACTCCCAAAGAGGCTGGTGTGCTGCCCGGAGAGTGGACGGAAACAGATGGACGGAGGCCAGGTCGCCAGTGCGGATTAAGACTCATTAGATCAAAGCTGCGGACAAGGGGGAGCGGGCGCAGGGTCAGCATCTGGGCTTCCTCCGGGCCGGGCGGCATGTGGGGCCAGCTGCGCCCTTTCATCTGGGAGGATTTGAGGCGTCCTTCATCAAGCCTCAGGGACGGGGCACGGGGGCTCTGAGGTAACCCTCAGGGGGCTGGGTTCCAGCAGCCGGGTGCGTGGCTGCACCTTCCTCTGCCCCTTCTCTTGGCTCTCCTCGTCAGTCCACAGTGGACGGCGGGCTCCTCCTCGGGACAGGCGTCTTTGTGGGAGGTGGCACCATGCAGGTCAGGTGACAAATCAGGGCCCCACCATTTACAAGGTGGTGTGACATTGGGCAAGTCCCCAAAACTCATGGTGCCTCGGGTTTCTCACCTATAAAGCAGGCAGAGTGGGAACAGAACCCACCTTCCAGGCTGGGGGTGGGCTGCCCTTAGAAAGAGGTGAGTGAGATGCCGGGTGCAGAGAGGGGCCATCCCAGGGCACTTACGAGTATGAGCCGACTGGACTCCCCTCTTCCAGGCCCCTGGTTGGCATCCTGAGAGTTGCTCATTTAGTCTTTCTAGGATCTCATTTCTCAATCTAGAAAATGGAGATGTGTGTGCAGGCACTTCCGGTCCCAAGCGATGCCCGGGAAAGACTTGCCTCCACCTGTGCTCCACCGCTCATTTCTCCATGGCCGCCGCTGTCTTCTCCACGGCATCCACCCCAGCCAGACTTCTTACATCCACAGAGGATACACCGCGAACTTGGAATAGTGGGAAGTGGGGGGATTCTTGTTTCCCAGACCAGAGAGGGCTTCTGTCCGTCTGTGGGTGTGGTCCTGAGAGGCCGGGACTCAGGTAGGGTGGGTGCAGGAGGGTTGGAGGTAAATCCACACCGGGAACCAGAGGGGCTATACTGGGCAGCACTGCACTCAGACCCCCCAAGTTTTGTAAAGGGTCTAGGGAATGTTCCAGAGCGTGACTGTCTTGTGCACACACATCCATCTGTATGTCCCATAGCTACCATCCCTCTCTTGTGGTCCACTCACTCGTAAGGGATGGGACACACTGCAGCCCGGGAGGTGCAGCCCAGCCAGCACGCGGCGCAGGGATCCAGGCGCAAAGGGGAGAGAAGCTGTTCAGACAACGTTGACAGTGCAAAGGGGTAGCGAGACACAAGCAGGCTCTTTTGCATAGTGCAGAAGGTTCTAGATAGGCCTGTTGGAGCTGCGTTTGTGTTAAGCTGTGACTGGGAGGCTATGCTTGGGGGCCCCTTCTTTGAGGACAGAACAAACGCCGCCTCAGCTTTGGGGGCCACAGTGCCTACACGTCACATGTCCCCAGAGCACCAAGCGCAGACGTGGCCCAGAGCAGGTGCTGCATAAAATTCGTTGATTGCTGGTGATCAAGCATCTCTGTGATTCCAGCATCGTTCCTCCTGCGGGACTCATCTCACCACCCCTCTTGTCATCCCGGCTCTGTGACTCACTGAGTAATCGTGAAACTCCCACAGACATTCTTTGATCACTTCAACAGTTTCAAATTCATCAAAGTGCTAAGCCCTGCCTGGCAGTGGCCCCATTGCTCTGAAGGGGGGACCACAGCAACTGCAGAGGGGAGCCCAGCCCTCGCTGGGTCATTCGGGCTGCAAACATGCCGTTGGGCTGCACTGTGAGCAGACTTCAGATGTTAAGGTATTTATACTTTTCAGAGTCTTCATTCATCCCCTTGCGTCTGGGCTTCACCCCAGGTTGAAGTAAGAGGAATTGGCTGATCATCTTCATTTTACAGGCCAGTAACCTGAGACCAAAAGCACAGAGCAGCCACGGAGGGCTGCAGGGCGGCCACAGAGCAGGCCCATGGGAGGTCTGCAGGGCGGGCACAGAGCAGGCCCATGGGGGGTCTACAGGGTGGGCACAGAGCAGACCCATGTGGGGGTTTTCAGGGTCTGGCAGTTCTAGAGGTGGATCTTGGTCATATTCCTGCCACTTACTAGTCGTGTGACCTTGGAAAAGGTATTAAACCTCTTTCTGCCTCAGGCTCCTCATAGGCCCAGTGGAGATAACAAATGTACCTATTTCATGAGGTGGTTGGAAGGAGTAAATAAAAGAATCCACGTGGAATGCTGAAAAGCCACCAGGGCCCTGGAGCTCTCCATGAACCTTGGTCATTGTTATAAACGCGGCCACGGTTCCAGTCCCCAGCCACTGCCCACAGTCTGCCTGGAGCTGGGGAGCCCACTCCTCCTGTGACCACAGGATTGACGCCCAGACCCCTCAGTCCTCCCCCTCCCCACCCTCCAAAGGCCCTGTTTTGCATGGGTGAGGTATTTTTGCTAGGATTCTGGAAGGATCCTGGCAAGCTCAAGAGAACAGTTTGAGGCCCCAAAAGAACTGTCAGGATCTGAGGAAATGCCCCTAACCCATCCGCGAGGGTTCAGCCCAGCAGCCCCAAACCTGCAGTGGGACGCGGGGGACCCCCTCTGACCTGCGACGACCCCGCTGGCGAGCTTTCCGGTCTTTGTCAGCCGAACAAAGGCGTCTCCCCGCTCCCTGCGCCAAGGAACTGGATCATAGCGAGCGCAGACGAAGGGGAGGAAAATGAAACAGAATCTGATCGGCGGCTGTTGGCCGAGAGTTAAAGAGCAAACTCCCCTTTGTGTCTTCTGGCTCCGTGTGCGAGGATGATAACGCGCGCCAGGAGAACAGGAAAACAATTTCCTGGCCCGCTTGGCCGCCTCACTTCCTTTTCCAGGGCCCGCGCAGGGCGCCGCGCGGAGTTCGGGCTGGGCGCGCCCCTCTCTCATGGGGCACGTTGGCCGGCCGAGGGCGGACAGCTGCGGAGCCTGGGGGGTTAGGGCGCGTCGCTCCGCCCGGTGCGGGCGCACCCCCGCTCGGCCCACCCTTACCTGAGAGCCATCAGAGGCACCAGGCCTCGCCCGCCGCAATGCCAACCGCCCCACAGCTCCGCAGAGCTTCTGGAAAAGTCTGCACTCCTGCGTCCCGGCCTCCCCGCGCTGGAGGAGCCCTCTCAGTGGGCCCACCCGACCGTTGAGCAGGATCGGGAGGGCGAGAAAGGTCAGATTGGATAGGACAGCGGCGCCAGCGCCACGCAGGGTCCCCTGGGCACCCCCAAGTGTCCTCCTAGCCTCTCGTCCCCCTTCCCCAGTCCTCCTTGCTCCAACGTTACTCATGGAGGCCTGCACTCGGGTGGAATCTGACGACTTGTTCCGAATTTATTCGAGAACATTCTAGGGAGAAGGCACGTCCGCCTCTGGACTTGGCCAGGGGTTTAGGGCAGGGGTGGGAAAGTGCCCGAGAATGTGTGTCCAGCAAGAACTAGGGTGCGCGCCTGTGAGGCGGCCAGGGGAACCTAGCGCTCTTTCTTCCGATCCTGGGACAACACGGGCACGGGAGCGGGGCCCCATTGCGCGCGCTCCAGCTCCAGTCCCGAAGCCCCAGGTTCCTCACCCCCCCCCCCCCCCCCCCCCCCGCCTCCGCGACTTAAACAGCGTTCCCTGCCCGGTTCTCCTCGCCCGCGCCCAGGGCGCGCACACCCCCCATTGCGGGAAGTGCCCCGCGGGGCAGGTGCCCACGCGGTCTAGGAGAACCCCGTCGGGCGCAGGCCAACTTGCGGGGGTCCCTTCTCCCCGGGGAGAGAATCTCCAGGCGCCCCACCCACCGCAGCCCGCGGGGCCGGCGTCCCAGCGCGCCCCCTGCCGATCGCGCGCGGCGGGGGCAACGCCCCCTCCCTTGGGAGGCCTGGTCCCTGCTGCAGAGAGGAGGAAAGCAAAGCGCGTGTCCCTGACTTACTAAGGACTGTCAGGTTTAGGAACGAAATCCCCCGAACTAAACAAAAAGACAACCTGGTGGGAGCGAAGCCTGGTCAGTTTTCCTCCGAGTGATGTTTGCCCAAGGGGGAAAGACGGAAAACGCCTGCCGCATCCGCCTCCCCCAGCAAAGCCGGAATCCCTCTTTGCTCGCCCGCGCGACCCATCGTTTCGCCATAAATCAGGCCTCCCGCTGACTCTACTGCTCAGACAAAATTTTGGGATTCTGGGCATCTGTAACACGAAAAGCCAATGATAGCGAAGGCAGAAATTGGATTTTAAAGGCCACCTCGGCCCCACACATCCACTCGACAAAGCCAGAGGAATGGCCTGCTCCCCAATAAACGCCGAGGGGCCTGCGCAAACGACTGGAATTAACGGTGTGGCTAAAGCAGATCCCCTTCCGAACGCGGCGCAAATTTCACCAGGGTCCCATTCCTCAGCCTCCAGGCACTAAACGAGAATCGCTGCCACCCTGGAATTTTGCAAATCACGTTTGCTGTTTTTTCCCCGGCTTTGCTTCCAAACAGCTCGGTTTGGGCCCAGCCCCCTCCCCGAGACCACCCCTCCGCGCCCCACACTTCCCCACACAGCCCCTTCCTAGGGGACAACTCACATGCTAAAAATGCTCGGGCTTAGCGGCCGCCTTCCTCGTCCTAAGTCCCCCGAATGAATGACCTCTGAGCCCAGACTGCCTCTATGTCCCTCGGAGGACAGTACAAATTCCGCGCCGTGGGCTCCCGGCGCCGGAGCCCTGACTTTCAGGTCCCGAGGCCTGAGTTCAACTACTCAGGCCTCCTGGCGGGCGTTTCAACCCTCCGAATACACAGACTCATTTGTTTATGTTTTTTAATGTAGCAAATGGGCAGCTAAATGAATTGCAATTTGTAATTTTTATGGTTAATTTGAAATCTCGCTCTTGTTGGCTAATCCTGTTAGTTGGTGGCAAAACAAGGAGAAACTCGTGTTGCAGCGGCAGTAATTCTAATAGGCATTTTATGTTAAATTACGGCCACTGGCCAGAACAAAAGGCGCAGCCCGACTTCCGTGCCGAGCGACCGTGGCGGGTCCACGCCGCCTGCGCGAGAGCAACCGACCCTGAGTCCCGGGCTCCGCGCGCTCCAGCCACACCCGGCCGCCCCGACCTCAAGATTAAGATGCACAGTTTGGCGCCCTGATTACGGCTGTGATTGTCCCCGGTGCCCCAAATCCGCGCTCCGAGGTTTCAGAGCCTCCGCGGCCTCGCCCAGGGCGCGGGGCGTTTGCGGCACCAAGGATCTCTTTCCCTCCCTGTCTCCTCTCTTTCGTTCCCTTTCTCTCCTCCCTCCCTGCCTCTCGGTGGGCTATTCGCTCCGGTCCCTGGGAATCGAACCGGGGAGGACGGCGGTTAGGGGGCGAGGTGCCTTCTGTCCCCTCCCAGGCCCCCAGTCCCGGCTCCCCAAGAGGAAGCGCCCCAGAGCCGCCCAGACTGGAGCAAGGGGCGCGCGAGCGGGCCGTCCCTGCGTCCCGGGGGCGCCCCTGTGGCCCCAGCTCTTTTCGCAGGCTGCGCGGCCGGGTGGCGGTCCCCGCGAGCACAGCGCGTGTGAACGGGGCGCTGGAGCGCGCGGCTCGGCTTGTTCGCGCGTTGTCGCCCGCGCCCTGTTTCTTGTCCCTGGCGCCTGCTCGGTGCCGTCCCAGTGAGTTTGATTGAAACGCGGCTGCGAGAGGTGTCGAACAGGGAACGCGGCGTGCAAGGCGGGAGGGGCGAGGAAGGGGACCTGGAGAGGGAAGGAGACCCGGAGAGGCTCGGGGGGCGGCGCTGCTCTGGGACTGCTATTTTGAAATCGGGCGGTTGTCCCCTCCGGGGCGCAGGATGCAAGGGTCAAGTGTCACTTCCTCTGGCAGTCAATCTCCAATATTCCTTGTAATGTTTCTAAATGGACGAATTCATTACGCGGGGACATGTGAATGGGGAGAGGCCGCCAGCGCGCTTGGTCAATAGCGTCCACTAATGGTTCATTTTGCACAGCAGAGCGGGGCTCCGTGGAACGCAGCGCAGAGCCTAATCAATACTGTTGACTTGTTCGTGGCGACGGGCGTAAAGGTCACTTAGGGAAGGTGGGAAAGTGCAGGCACCCCGACAAGTCCTAATCGTCTTTCTTCTTTTCCCTTGGACCAGTTTCCCCTTGAAACTGCCGGGCTGCCGAAAGCAGAGAAATGGGTCTCCATCCGGAGAAGCAGCACACCGGCCTAGCACACACCCGTCCCCGTGCGCACACGACACGCCCACACCCAGAGTCCCTGTGCTGGCAGCAAACGCAGCTTGATTCAGCCAAGTCTCTCAGCAGCGTTTCAGACAGTGTGGGGACGTGGCGGCAGGGTAAGGTGGCCTTGAAAATCCAGGGCTCTCCAGCCAAGGGGATGGCTACCAGAGTGGAGAGCTAATAGGGAAGATCGCTGTCGACCCTATCCTCCCGCTGTTTTCGAGAGGAGGCATTAAGTAAAATTTTAAAAGGAAAATGCCCCTTTGTCCCTTCCCGCTGGGACAGGTCTCCTGGTCTCCATCCTCACCAGGACAGGAGTGGGAGTACGCAGGACTTGCTGAGTCTCCAGGTAAGCATCCAGCACATCGGGGAGGAGACTCAAAATGATCCAGGAAACGCAATGCCCGGAGAGGGAAGCCTGCCTTAGCTCCGCGCAGTGAGGGCTTCCCCTCGGTGCTCCTGGAGCTCAGAGATGGGTAAGGAGGTGGAGAACCCATCCGAGAAGTTTATTCTGGTACATTTAAGATGGCCTTGGCCACATTATGTAACCGAACGAATTACCTGGTGTCCTGCTAAATCCCTGAGTTTGGTGAAAGGAAATGACTTGTCCCCTAGAAGCCACTCCATCCTTGCCCACCTGGGAAAACAGAAAGCTGTGTCTCTTTCCTTTTCTTCCCAGGGTTCCCACAGGAGGGAAGAGGGGCAGAGGAGGTTTGTGGAGTCAAGCTGTGTTGGACCCACTCAAACCTGTGTAGCTCTGATGATGTATGGCCTCCTTCTATGCCCGTGCCTCATGCGGGAGGCGTGTGGATGCGTACAGGGCAGACCTCACACAAACCTCACCTGGCTGAAGAGAGATGCCAGCGGTTCAAGTCACTCTAGGAGGTGCAGTGGGCATTTCCTTATGGGAGTTAACACCAAGTTTGGGGGAAGGGTGGGTCCGTGGTGTGTGTCCCACAAGAAACGGTAGTGAGCTTCCCTTGTTCTCTTCTGCTGGTCGCTGTTGGGGACCCAAACAAAGGTAGGAGGCATCTTTGCTTCCTATAGACACTAGAGGATAAAGCAGACAGGAAGGAAATGGCATACTAGTCAAGCCACCATTCTTACTTGGTCATTGTGGTTGTTAGGCATTCCTCGTCTCCCCAAGTTTTAGATGTATCTATTCCCCCAAAAGCACACTTTTAAAAAGTCAGATGTGAGGACTGCTGGCGTACTGATTCTTTCTAATGGACCCCACCTTGGTTTAGGTCAGACGGTTCATTTTCACCATCATACGAGAGTCTGCGTTTGAGCAGGTGTTTTACGCTGTTTGCAATGTGACATACCTGGAAATAGACCTGGTGGTTTTCTCTGGTTCCATTCCCAACGGTGTGCGGGCTCTGTGTGAGGTGCTCTCCAAACCTATTCGTATTCTCTGTCATTTAGTTGGACTCAGTGAAGAAGCGAGCAATTTGCCGAATTTAAGAAAGTGGCGTGTATAAATAGGTAAACACAAAAGAATACAACAAAGCTAAAATATTTGGCAAATTAAGCCTTGAAATTCTTTACAAAATTCCAAATGTTCAGTAACTTATTCAATCTCCAATTATCATAATAAAAAGGAGAACCATTAAGGGGGCTTTGGTTCCAATATTTTCTGTAAAACAAGGTCTTTTACAATTTCCCACCAAAATACATTCTTTTACTTAAACTTGTCTATACTCAAGCTATAAATAATAATATGAATGCTGTGTCCTCATAGTCTTGCCTCCTATAAGCCTTTGTACCC